AAAATAGTTCTGTAAGATTCTCCTTGTTGGGAGACATATTCTCTCGTTGAGAGAAACACTATTCTCGAACCTTCTTCTTCAATCTCAATCTTCATTCCTCTCTATTGAGAGCTTTCTCCACTCTATTCACTCTTAATCCCCTATTCTCCTACTCTCTAATCTCTTTGCAATCGTGCTAGGTTTTCAATTTGCAGTAAGCTTCTACATTTCTTATTCGGGATCAGAGTTCGCCATGCTGAAAAACTCCGAGAAGTACTCAAAAGTGAAAGGGGCTTTTGGACCTTCATCTGGAACAGAAGACTTAGAGACCAGGCTACAGAAGATAGACCTCTCCGAATCAGAAAAGGAGGTCATAGAATTAAGGAATGATGATGTCCACACTAGTGAGGAGGAATGTGAGAAAAGCCTCTTTGGAAAAATCATTGGTGAAAGGCGTGCATCTCTAATTGGACTCAGAAAGACCATGAATGCGATATGGCAGATCAAAGGCCAAATGGAGGTAAGAGAGCTCAGCAATAACTTTTTTCAATTTATCTTTGGGAATACGGCAGACAAGAAAAAAGTGCTCAGTGGTGTTAATTGGATATTTGAAAATCAATTCTTAATCTTGCTGGAATGGGAAGAAGGCCTATCTGCTAACCATCCTAAATTTAATGAGCTTAACATTTGGGTACAAGCTCACTATCTTCCCCTTAACTGGTTAAGCTCTGAAGTGGGAATGAAAGTTGGCCGAATCTTCAAAAAAATAAAAAATGTAACTGTGGTTAAAGCAGGAGGCACAAAGGGCAGCTTTCTCAGGCTCTTAGTCACTATTGATGTAAGGGAACCAATTCCAAGATGTGTCCACATGAAACTACATGATCAACAGATAGTGGTGGGATTCCAGTATGAAAGATTGGTGAGCTTATGCTATTACTGCGGTTTCATTGGACACCTAGACCGGAACTGTACAGCAAGAACAGTAGACATTGAAAAAGGGAAACTCAAAGAAGGCCAATATGGTGACTGGCTCAAAACTGTAGAGAGCAAATATTGGGGAATCAGCTCTCCTTCAAACCCCCCAAGTGGTTATCATGAAGATTCCCTTCCACATCCAGAGGAGCAACTGAATCGATATTCTGAAAGAGATAACATTCACAGTTCCCCAGGAAGTAAAAACTCCAAACCGCACACTAATGAGCCGAACACCAAAATAGCAAAAGAGGTGGCAAATTCTGGTCATTCATCAAGTGAACTAAACCATGCGAGATCAAACCAAGACCAGGAAGAGAATCCAATACTACAAGATGAGGACCACATGCTATTGGAAGTTCCCCTAACTGCTACATACATGGAGGAGGTACAAATCCCTGAAATAGAGCCTAAGAAAGCCATAACTAAAGTCCAAATACAACTAGACCACAGTGAAGATAAAATAGAAGGCAGTGAGATTCCAACCAATCAAAAAAAGAAAGGGTGGAAAAGAGCTCAATCTTTGAAGGGCAGACTCATAGAAAATAAAGATACTCAAGAGGAAAATCATCAACCCTCGATCAGAAAAAGAACTTTCACACAAGAAGATGATATAGAGGAAGGGGGGGCAAGTCAGACACCATCAATAACCAGCTATAAGAAATTGAAAGGTATGGCTAAAGAGGTGGGGGAGGCCAGCCTAAAATGGCCCCAAAATCACCAATGAATATTTTGATGTGGAACTGTAGAGGTTTGGGGGGGCCCTCTACAGTTTCCCAATTGAAGGAATCTTCTAGAATCCACCCCCCAAGTTTTATCTTTCTGGCAGAAACCAAAAAACAAAATGATTTCATAAAAACTGTTTGTAAAAAGCTTGGATATCAAGATAGATGGATTACTTCTGAACCATTAGGTCTTAGTGGGGGCATTTTGCTTATGTGGGCCAAAGATATTAAGATCATTCAAATAATCAAAAATAGCTTTTGTTTTGAAGTTGAAGTGGAATGTAATACAAATAGTGAATCTACATGGTTTATTTTTTATTATGCTAGTCCGAACAAGAAAATGAGGGAGGAGCAATGGAGTTATCTTGAGAGAGCTAGTATTAAATGGGGTAGTGATTGGGTAATTGGAGGAGACTGGAATGAAATTCTTCATCCATCTGAGAAGAAAGGGGGAAAAATGAAGTCAGATGGAGATATAATAAGATTTAAAGATTTTTGTGCAAAAATGTGTATGCAGGAAATTAGCATGGATGGTCACAGATTCACCTGGGAAAACAGAAGACCTGAAGAAGGATACATTGAAGAAAAGTTGGACAGAATTTTTGCATCATATGGCTGGTTGGCTAAGAATCCCAGGGCCAGAGTATTGAATATATTTAGAAGTGCTTCAGATCACCACCTTCTAGTCCTGCAAAATGATCCCAACCAACAGCACTTCAGGAAAAAAAGGTTTTACTTCGACAAGAGATGGCTCAAAAGGGAAGGGATAAAGGAAGTAGTCCAAGCGGCCTGGAACCTTCCTCAAACAGGCACTCCCATGTTCCAAGTAGCGGAAAAAATCAAAGCAGTCAGGATCAATCTTCTTAAGTGGAGCAGTGGTTTCAAAAAGGAAAAGGATATGAAGATAAACTACCTGACAACAAAACTGGAAGAGCTTAGAAGCCAAGGAAACACTAGAGACTGGGATGAGTGGTACATAACCAAAAAAGAGCTAGATGAGGAATACAAAAAAGAAGCTGACTACTGGAGCCAAAAAGCTAGAATCCATTGGCTGCAAGAAGGTGACACAAACTCAAAATACTTCCATGCAGTCACAATGCAGAGAAGACTTACAAACAAAATTTCCAGTCTAAAAAAGGATAATGAGAGCTGGTGTGAAAATCAAAAAGACATTGAAGACTGTATAACAACTTTCTTTGAGAAGATGTTCACCACAGAGGGATCCAGAGGGGCTGATTACATTTTACACAACCTCCCTCATGTTATAACAGATGATATGAACCAGAGCTTAATTGCCCCTGTCACAGAAGAAGAGATAAAGGAGGCCCTTTTCAGCATGAACCCTCTCAAAGCTCCAGGACAAGATGGTATGTCTCCCTCATTTTTCCAATCCTTCTGGTCTATTATAAAAAATGACTTATGTACTGCCATTTTGAGTTTTTTTGATTCTTGTCAACTACTTCAAAACTGGAATCACACTATTATAACCCTTGTACCTAAATGCCCTAACCCCGAATCCTTGAAAAGTTTCAGACCCATTAGCCTCTGTGGAGTTACTTATAAAATAATATCCAAAATCCTTTCAAACAGATTGAAACCTTATATAGGTCATTGTATAAGTGCTAATCAGTCAGCTTTTGTTAAAAACAGACAACTCCTAGACAATGTCATCATTGCTCAAGAAGTTGTACACTTTTTGAATAGGCACAGATCTGGTAAACATAAGTATATGGCTGTGAAGCTTGACATGGAGAAGGCTTTTGATAGAGTTGAGTGGAACAGCATTAAACTCATTCTTCTAAAATTTGGTTTTCACATTACATTTGTTAAATGGGTCCTTGCTTGTATAACCTCTACTGCTTTCTCTGTCAATTTGAATGGTGAACTTAAGGGATATATTAGAGCTTCAAGAGGCATAAGGCAGGGGGATCCTCTATCCCCCTACCTTTTCATTCTTGTGTCTGAAGTTCTATCAAGGCTTATAAAGGCTGAGGAAGATAGAGGCAGATTTGCAGGGATCAAAATTTCAAAAAAAGGGCCTACTCTCACTCATCTTTTATTTGCGGATGATGCCCTAATATTTTGTAAAGCAGAGAATAGACAAGCTCAGACTATACTTGAGGTGTTATATAGATACCAATTGTTTTCTGGTCAAAAAGTAAATCTCTTGAAATCATCAGTGTTCTTCAGCAAAAATACTTCGTCAGAGGAAAAGACTGAAATCTGTCACATTCTTGATGGCATTAAAATTCAAACTTCTACCAGGTATCTAGGATTGCCATTGGGTATTGGTAAATCAAAAAGAGAGTGCTTTAATTATATCATTAAAGCTGTTAATTCTAAATTGGTAAACTGGAAGAACAGATTTCTTTCTAATGCT